AGAGGGATGGGGTGACGTGAACACGCCCTCAAATTTCTGATCCTAACTTAATTGAGTGCAACTGTTAAATACGAGAGTCGTCCCAACATAATTGTTCAATTGAAATAATTGAGCTAGCCAGCGTCCACTGCTCTCTCGATAAACAACATGCGGCAATTAATGCAGCAATTTTTAATTGATTGAAACAACGCTGACAGCGACTGTCATTGATAGCCCCAGAACCCATGGGCTGTGAGCGTGCGAAAGCCTGAAAAAAGTAGTAAGCTATCGAAGAGTGGCTGTTGCTCAGGTCTTATAACTCAACTCTTGGCCCAAAACGCTGATAAGTAGGCTTTAGCCATGCTACGTGCTCAGCCAAGTATTGCAAAAGCTGCATCATGTGTATGTTGCATGTAGCCATGTGCAATGAAAGCAAATCGTTGGGCTTAGGCGCTAAAGCATGCTCTGATAAGCGATAGCACTTGGGCTGATTTTTAACGAATACTCGAATAACCGAAGCGAGCTGATAAAACCTTTGATTTCAGCGACATATGAAATGTACGCATACATATTTAATCTGGCAACAAATCGCGCAAGCAGTTTTCAACTGTGCAATTTTTGCAACTGTCTTCTGGTTCAAATACATTTAATTGTATGTTAAATTATTTCAATTTCTGCTGCACCAATAGAAACTCAAGCTCAGCTCAACTCATATTTATCCGACATGCTCAGCTGACACTTTTTCAGATACGCTTCTTATGCACGCTAGCATATGCTTATTCTGCTGCATATTCTTCTACGACTTCTACTACTATTTTTTTTTAAGCCAAAGATACATTTCATGCTTCGTGCAGATGCTTGAAATGTGTCAATGCCACCACACCAGGCAACAACAACAACAAAAAAAAATGGGATTCTTGATGTTTTGCCTTCGCCTGGGCACAACAAGCTCGACGGGAGCTGTTTTTGCCGGCTTATGCAATCCATCGGATACATTTTTGCAGCTCCATCATTCGACATGCAAAATGCACAACCCGCCTGCTTGTCTGTCTATCTGTATGTTTGTGTGTCCATTAATTTGGCACTCACGTTGCATATGGAATTGAGTTGCAGTTGCAGTTGCATCTTTGGGCCTATAAATAATCACGTCAAACAGTTAACACCATTAACCGCATATTAATTGGCCGAAATAGACACCACGAAAATAACACCAGCAGGATTAAGCGCCACGACAAAGTCGCCAAGTCTCGACATTTGCCTGACATTTGTGTAGATGCCATAGAAGGCGTCGCATTGCCACATGTGGAAAGCCTTAAATGGCTGTCGGCGTCTGAAAGTCGCGTATGTCAAATATATATATATACTCGTATACATATGTATGCATATATGTATGCATACACATATGTTTGGATTGCTATCCACTAAACCACTGACATGCAAATGTCAGCCAGGAGGGGGGAGTTGGTGTGGGGTTTGGTTGCAGTGTGGGTGCGGGCTGGCGGCAATTGTGGCGATAATTGCACATTTGAGGCACGCAAAAATTGTCAGACATACCCCGCACTGCCCCTGCCTCTTAGTGTACTAATAAATATCAATTGTATGCACAACAACAACAACTATGCGAAGAACAACAAAGCAAACTCACACAGCCAACTGTGTTTCCTTGTCTTTGAATTTCTTTAAAGTTCTTACAACATTACAGATGTACATTAGTACAGATGTACATATACACATAGACACACACATACATACATACACACACACACACATACACGCATACACTTGCAACGCTGCTGAGCACGCATAAATTAAGTGCAATTAGCATAAACAACTTTCAGCTTTTAGCTTCAATCAAGAGGGGATCTTAGGCACAAGCGGCAACTGCCAGGAGCATCTACATGCCACACATACCACATGCAACAACCACGAGAAATGCGCACTGCATGCTGCGATCCGCAAATATGGTAAATCAACTACGAGGAGTTCTTAATGTTGCCATCCATTCCGATTATTAAGAAGCCAAATTTGGGAACCGACAACGCAACGTTGTTTGGCCAATAAGTGCAAGTTTATTCCTGATTTTAGTTTTCGCTTTAAATTACGAGGTTATTTTGCAGTATATAAAAAGTTTTGTTTACCTCGAGAGTACTTGGTGCAATAAACATTATTGCTAAGCTCGAACGACAAGGATAAACGAACGAAATAAAACTGAGCTAAACTATTTTTTTATCTCCCTTGCTGAAAGAAAATTTCCAATTAAGCGTGACATCCCTTAAACCGTTTCATTTTGAAGTATGTACTTAAATTGTAGCCTGATTCCACTATCAACATATTTTCCATTTTCGAATATCTGCAGAATGTAAAGATGTTGCCTGCACATGCTCCTATAAGGGACAACATGTTGTACATTCAACATTTGTAAATATGTTGCGAATTTTAGAAATTAATATCGATTTTTTTGTGTTTTTTGAAATCACCAAATGTAAGGAATGTGAATGTAGGAATTGATGGGCATAATGGAGTCCGTTGCATTTGCTTATGCCAATTTATGATACAATATTTGGCTTTGATTGAGTCATTGAGTAATTGTCAAATTCATTACAATCCAAAATGATGACTTCATACTGCAGCTGTTTTCAAGCGAATTAAATCAAAAGTTTCACATAACATTTGCAGACGAAGAACCGATTAGATATGCCACAAATTGAAGCCACTCAAAATTAAGTGGGCTCACAGTGTCCACAAGTAACCACAGCGAGGAGTCCCAATGAAGAAGACCTTCGAGCACAGCTCCAGCCAGGCCAGATAAGGCACATTGTTGGTGTTTGTTTACACATCTAATAAGTATACAACACATAAAAACGTATGTGTATATAATATATACGTAGTACACAAATACATGTATAAACTTATGGAAATTTATTCACAGTTCCTTTTAACTAAATACGTTCAAGACCTCCTCTAAAGTTTATATATACTCGTATATATATTTTTTCAACAAATTAATAGTTTTTAATCAACTTTTTTTATTGTATAGAATCTGTCATTGTTAAAGCAAAACAGGAAGTCAACGATTTCAAATATTTATGTCTTATTTATTTAAAAACTATAAAACAATGATATTTTTAATCGGCTTATTAGCTTAAAATTGAAAAAAAGTCGAAAGCAATATTTGTTTGTCAAGGATACATTTCCTTTCATATTATCCAATCAGTAAAAAAAATATTTGAAACCTTATCGAATTATTTTTCCAAGAAAAGTTTTCTACACATTCGTATTCAATTTTCATGAAACAAACAAATGTAAGTGAAGTAGAAGCAGAGATATAAAGCAAAATGCAAAGATACTTTCATGGACATATTCAGTTGAGCGGCGCTGTATATATGAAATGGAAAACGCGTATATTGAACGTATTTATCAGTATGGAATTTAAATAGCGTTCACGAAATGCTAAAGTGAATATGTAAAATAAGTGCAGCTTTTGGCTGGCAATCGCAGGTAAATAAATACAAATATTTGAGAAATTTATATAAATATCTGGCTGCCTGTTGTAAGGGGAGACAGCAGACAAGCATGTGAATAACAACGCAAAATATGGAAAAAACCGAAAATATATTTTTGCCGCTATTAAGAAATATTTCGCATTTAGCTATAATAAAACTGACTTGAACAGACTTTGAAACAGAGCATTTAAAATACAATTTTTTTTTAAATTTAATACAAACTTTCTGTGCTCTAAGTGTTAAGTAGTTTTAAATCCAAAGATTTTAAATTAAGTTATTTTGAAATGCTAAATGAATTGAAAGAGAGTAATTCACGGAATCAAAGGTCTTGCTGAACTCGCTCTGTATAACATTGATTTGCATTTTGTTATTTTGTTTTGAAAACCCGCAATTACAATTGAAATAAGAATTTCATATAGTGTAATCATGAACAGCTGCAGCTGCAACAAATAAAATAAGGATCCCCACGATAATCAAGTCAAGTATTTATCTTTATCAAATTTCGTTAAGATTTATAGTCGCGGGCAAGCATTTAAGGTGTTTAATAAGTGTCTCATTGTCCTAAATATATTTTCATTCTTATGATTTAAATTTAAGTATCGCCACAAGTTAAATACGTTAATTTAATTTCCCGTTATATGATAATGCTAGCAAATTTTTTAATTCAAAACATTGCTAGAAAATAATGATTAGTTATGCACACAATTCATCAAGAAATCAAAATATTTTTGTATCATTTAACATTTGTGCCCTCAATTGGGAATCTTAATTGAGAATGTTTCTTTTCGGGTGCTTAACAATATACATTTATTTGAATTGAAATTTCCAAGTAAGTGGTGAATTATTATTAACATTGCTTTCTCTGATTGTAGAGTGCGAAGTAATTACGTGTAGTGCATTTGGCAGTCGTTCTTGCCTCATAAAGTGAGCTATTGCTATTAATTGATGGCGATGTGGTGCTTATCTACGCAGCCACCCATTCGAAGTGGGTCAAAGTTGCTTTGGGGTTCAAATCCCTACCGCAACTCATAAATTTGTGGGGCGGCAAACATGTGTGCTTTTAATAAATACGAGTATAGCTTAAATAAAACAGCAGCATCACAACTCGACCATTAAAAACCAGACGAGGGCAGTTTTCGATTTCATTGTACAAATTTGCTGCATCCAATGGCATTAATTATGGGCCTTGTGACGCTTTTCATCATCATCGTCATGCACATCGGCAGCCTCATAAAGAACAATATAAACAAGAACCGCATCGACATATATGTATATACATAAATATTTACATATGTACTTCAATTGTTATCATCGGACTGTTAGATAAAAGTGACAAATTTATGTACGACTTTTGTTTAGGAATGGGCAACTGCATGTTTTATGTATATGTACAACAAATGAATATTATGGGAACCCAAAAAATGATGTGGGTATTATGTTTTGGTAGAGGTTCATATATATGGGGACATGTAATAACAAAGAAAAGAAGAAAATTATAACATAAAAGAGTAAACGTACTTTGAGCGTGTTGGTAATAAGAATTTGAGCTACAACTGAAACTGAACTGGTCTGCAAAATACAAAAATAATCAAAAAGAAACAGATCAGAAGAGAATATTGACAGATAAAACGCGTATTATGTACAAATGCATGAATGAAAGTTATTTAATTTGGTATTGAAACAGCCACAAATATGTTTCCCGCAAGATGTTGAACCAGATGTTCTGACTACAAATGCGTACCGCAGCTGTCAAACGGTCAACTCCAGATTGCTTTTCATTTTGCACTTTCAAAATAGCCCACAAATGAGTCTAACGAAAGCCAGTTCAAATACATAAATGTTGACATCATCGATGTGTCCAGGAATTTGATGTGAATAACCGGCCAACGGAAATCGAATGGGGAACAGAACACCCTAAATTTTGTTGCATGAATGGGCAATAGACTTTGTGTGAAAAAATTCAACTTGAATACAGTTTTTAATTGTGTATATACAAATATACAATTAGAGCATATAAGAGTGCAAAGTTTTAATTTTTATGGGTTATACAAAACACATTGCAAATAGGGCGTGTGGAAATCAAATGACCGAATAGCCGACCCTCAATATTGGGGCATGAATAATAGAATGGATTTTGTGTTAAATAATTAGTGGAATATGGTTTTTAATTGCGTATATATAAACACAAATTTAGAATATATTGGAGTGGATGTTAATCGAAGGTCATCTGTAAGCAGCGCAAAGTATTTAATTTTTTTCTAAGAGGAATATAGCAATATGAACTGATTACCTCGAACACATTTCAGATAGCAGATCCCTAATGTTGGTGCATAAATAATAGAATAGATTTTGTCTCAAATAATTAAAGTGGAATATGGTTTTTAATAGTGTATATATTTATACTTATATTTAGAGTATATAGTAGTCGATATTTGTCTTAGTAAGATCATCTGCAAACAGCGCAAAGTATTTAATTTTTTTTATGGGGCATATAGCAATATGAACTGAGGACCTCGAGTACAATTCAGATGAGGCGTGTGCAGTTTGACTCATATAGTCCTAATTAAAAAGCTGACAAACAAAGACATCTGGGACTGTCTTCTCCCCGTTCTCATCCTCATTCCCGCCGCCGCTCTCATTATGGAGCTCGTCCTCGTCAGAGACACGGTTGGAATGTGCACAACGAGATAAGCCAACAGCAGCGGCAATAACAATGGCTAACAACTGTAAAAGATAAAAAATCGCACACGCATATATGCAGATGAAGATGTGCGACAATGTAAATCCAGTTGAGATACAACCAGGCAGAAGTGTATCTGTGAGTAAATGGAGTTACTGAAATCCCAAAGAAACCAACACATATGTCCATAAGGTGCTGGCGATACTGTGGCTGGGTCTGGCTCTCAATCTCAGTCAGGGACTGATGCTGATGATGCTGGGGAAGCAAGCAAATAAAGTGACAACTTTAACAAATAAACTGCACAGAGAAATCCTGTGTGAGTACTCGAGTGAGTACTCCAACTGCAACATCAACTTGAACTCGAATTCACACTCCACACACAATATTCAGAGGCGGCTTTCTTTCTTCCCCTTTGAGCCACAGAAAAGATTCAATACAATGCAAAGTAAATAATAATAAACGACCTTCGCTGGCTGCCAGCGAGAAACTCGCCTTTAGGCATTGGACAGACGAGCGTGGGATCTTAAAAGTGTGGTCGGACACAGTTTTTTAGTAGGGGTGCCAATCAAATAAAAACCTTCTTTTTAAGGGAGCACATGAAATGTGAGATGCAAATCGAGTGCTTATTTACACAATCTTTTTTTCTTATGGCTTATCTGGCTGATGTGCAAAGAAAATTGTTGGGCAAGTTGCATGTAATTAAATGATAAGTCACTTGTAAATTTCATTATCACACAAAGTGGCACACGGGCATAGAGATTGATCTACTTGAGATCGCTTGGTAACCGATGATGACACTATTGGTCTACGAAAACTATATATCTTATGCGATGTTTGTATCTTAGATATTATGGTTTTTTTTTTTATTATTTTTTATTAGCGTACTGGTATCAACATATATTTATATTTATTTTATTTTTTTTTTATTTTTATAAGTTCTAAGCTTGAATAGGCGTTCGGCTCGTTTCAACTCTTTATATATGTTAAGTGATTGCTTAGTAATTTGTTGATTTTTTCATTTGATTTTTTCATTTCATCGCTGTCTGGCTTATATTATTTTTAAAAATTGCAATACGAAATTTGTGTATTTCAGCGCATGCAGCATAAATTCTTGCTTAACGCCGTCGTCATATTTTCCCAAACCCCGCACAACAACAACAACAACAATCATAAAAACCACTAAACAACAACTTGAAAAAAGAGAAGAAGAAAAAACAGAAGCGTTGGTTCATTTAAGGTAGATAAAGTATCGAGTACGCGCACAGCCAGCGATGTACTGCAAAATGAAAATGAAATTCACCGCACAATGCGCACAGAACGCAAATAAAAAAGAGGCTAAAAAAACTCCGAAAAAAGGGCGCACAATTTTAAACGTGACTGTTACAAAGAATTTCATTTCATTTATCACAAACAAATTTTTGCCATGTTGCCGACGTCGCCGACGTTGACAAAAATGATTATTATAAATTCGACCTTATTACTCTTGTTACTCTCGTTTGTTGTACAACAGTTTTTCGCGTTTGGTTTTGTATTTCACCTCATGGGAAGCAAATGGGCGCACAACATTAAGTATGAAAAGCATTGCAGCTGCAAAACGACACTGAGCACAAAATCACTTTGTTTTCATTACGTATTTTCTTTTTTTATATTGAAAAGATCCTCGTAAGTATCTATCACGAATGCAAATGAAAATTTGTTTTCGTTTCGTTTTGTTTCGTTTTGGCCTTTGCCGGTTGATCGCGTTCTGCGCGCGCCGCTTCTGCATACAAAACGCAACCAACTTACGCGCCGGTGTCTCGTTAACTGACCCAACAACAACGCCGGCCGCATGCGTTAAGTGAGCGTGTGTCGACGTCGACGTCGGCGTTCGCGTTGGCGTCTCTGTCAGCGTAGCTGCAGCCACTTTGCGCTCAAAACTCCAATAGCACGAAACGAAACTTGTTCTCCCCAATTCACAACACACAAGCACACACACACACTTGCTCTCTTACTTGCACTCACAAGCACACACTCACACACACTCACGCATGTAGAGGAGAACTTGTTGCTCGCATTTTGAGTTTTGTTTATGCCGTGGAACTGTTTACATGTCAATGTATAGGATTATATCTGTGTATTTGTTTCTTCTTTTTTTTTTTTTTTTTTTTGAGTAGTGCGCTTTGTTTTGTTTCCCGCTTGCGCTTTTTGCCCTCCCCCCTTCCTTCCATCTTTTGTCTCTCAGCGAGCTTCTGGCTCATTAAGTGGTTGTGTCGTACGTTGTGCCTGAGCTGAGTGGCTTGTCTGCCGGCGAATTGAGTGGCGCTCTTGAGTGTTGTTGTGATACTCGTAACAATTCAATGAGCATTACGATTCGCCTTGTTTATTGCCACAGTTTTTTCATTTTCATTTTTATTTTTGCCTTTTTTGTGTTTTTGTTTTTATTTTTGTTGTGACATTTTGGCTTATTTCGATACGATTTATAAATGCATTTGAATGGCCCGTTTTGTCATTCTGCTTTATTTTTCCGGCATTTCGATTGTTTTTATTTGATTTTTATGACATTTTACACACATTTTTTGCGGCTGCCGTTTTCGACTCATGAGTCACGGACGGGCTGTGGATCATAATGGAGCGCTGAAGGATTTATTGGATGAATGTATGTTTATATTCAACTGGAAGTGTCACCATGGAAAAGAGATGCTTTCAATTTAATATGTGTGATTTTTAAGAGCTCAGGTGCTGATATACAAATCGGTAAAGTACTCATGAAATACAGTTGTATTTATTTAATTTTTGTTATCCTTTTGTTTTCCTTTTAGATTTTGTTTTTATCATTTTTGAAAGTCATTTTAAAAATGCAAATTATTTTGCAAATTTAAACAAGAGTTTGTATGCGAAAAACATTTTTCATTTCACAATTTTCGAGCAAGACCGAAAATAACTTATGTGGTTCAATCAAAGAGTCACAGGTTCTCCAACTGCAGCACTTCCTGCCTCACTCACTTGCCACACATACATTAGTTTCTCTGATTGTCCACACATTTCTTCATTGGCAACTTAACTTAACTCAATGCCAAAAAAGTATGAAAAACTATTGCACAAATAAGCCAATTTCTGCTTCAGTTGGTTTGTCCACTAAGCGACTGAGAGATGATATTATTAAGTGGCAAAAAGAAAAATGCAAAAAATAAATGTCTATTCACCACTTTACACAGACATCGTCATCGTTGCAACATGTGACAAAGTGCGAAAAATGCTTGCAGCGAGTTTATTATAAGTATAGACATTTTTTCTTTAATTTTAGTCGCTCTGCCAGTGGATTTGTCCACACTTGTGCCGCCGGCAAAGGACGTGCCACAAAAATGTATTAACTCCAGACGCGACAGCTCGGACGACTGAGCTCTGGACGGACAAAGGCGGCAAGAGTTTTTTTATATCCATTTTGAAGTGTCGCTGGAAAATCTATTTTGAGCGCATAATTTTTCACGCTGCCACCTTTTGGGGCAGCATTTTTTCTGCTTTTTTTCTGGCTTTGCTTTGCTTTCTATATGCATATATTTCTTCACAAAAGCCGATTTGTCGTCTGCTTGAAAAAAAGTACGAGTATCTTTGGCATGTTTTTTTTTTGTTTGCTGGGCTTGTTTTTGTAGCCGGATTTCCTGCATTTGTAAATTGAATTTTAGTCTGAGAGCAGCAGAAGAATTGCAAGTTCTCAAGTTTCAAGTCTTCTTCGCTTTTATTTTTGAACATTTATTAATTACGATCAATGATAATGCTGACGAATTTCCAATTCGTGTACTTTAAGATTAATCTACATTTTCGGCTGAATCATCGTTTGTTTTCGATAGTAATGAAAAATTATAATAAACAATATTTTTCAACTTTGAAGCAACGTCGCGGGTATTTACCA